TGTGATTTGCTCGAATTCCCGCATATTTACGAATGTATTTTTTTTCTTCACATTTTTCCTGATTTCGCATGTGCGACGCGCTAAATTCCAAGTGCTCTCCTCAGATGAAATAGTTCACAACCTAAGAGCGGACGTATTTTGTTAAAAAAAAAAACTCGCCTTTGAATATTAAGTACTCGGCGCAATGTGTATACATTAAACAGGCCAAATACGGAAAGCGCGATTCGCTGATTGCTTTTTTTGTTAGTATTTAGAATATTGCCTATACCTTATTGTGGGCGAAAGTAGATAGGTCTTCATTACGTAATGCCAACTCACTTTCTTAATTCATTAATGCAATCAGGTAAGAAGCGGGTGAGAGCTAAAGGTGTGCATGAAAATGAGGTGCACTAAATACGCCGCAGATATATAAGGAATGTATAGGAAAGAAAACTGAATGTGCACCTATAACATTTATCAAGAAATTCGGGCAGTTAACCGGTAGCCTAATGATCGCGCGTACAGGATGACATATTTCTTAGAGCAAAAACAAAAAAAAGCAAGAAAACAGGCTTACTATAGCCTCCTTTTACGTTCGCGGGCTTCCATTAGCCTCAGCAGACCCTTATCACGTTCGTTCCTACAATCCATGATCGGTCAAGTTCAATAGTTTTTTTGTTTGTTTCTTGTTTTTTTTCCGGTTTCTCGCATTGGCAGGCAAACACGGCCCGATGTGCCCTCTGTTCGGAATGAGATCCCCAAACACCATTAGGAGTGAGTAATGTTACGGACTTCGGTGCTGTATTTAAACGCTGGTTTCCTAACGAACGCAGAGCTTTACACGGCTCTTCTGTTGTTATTACCAAGTTCCCATCGCACATTTGCTCCACTAATGACGGCGTCGATTTATAATTCGAACGAACACGGCAGTGCGAACGCTGCTTACTGGTTTTGCTGCGCTGTGCGTGCCCATATGGCTGCTTAACGCGTGATTTTTCGTTGCAATGGCCACGTTTACAGTTTTCGTCACCATAAAACGTGCACGATATACCAGTACGCGCTGATTAGAAAATCCATTACGCCGTCATGAGGTTGGCTGGCTGTTTTGCGGGAAGGCTATAGCTTAACAAATAGAGCAAGAGTGAACGTGAGAAGCGTGACCTTTTACTACGTCAAACTGATTAGTTATCGCCACTTAATAAATTTAGTGAAATATCAACAGCAATAAATAAGGAAAAAAAACAAGGATGGGTGTACCATGTGAAGGATGAGTCTTGTTTCAGGTTTGAGGTGGCCGAATTCGGACGATGGAAGCGAAAATGCCGTAATCTCTAAATTCTAAATCTATATATGTGCTCAGATTTGGGTGCACGTTAAAGAACCCCAGGTGGTCGAAATTTCCGGAGCCCTCCACTACGGCATCTGCCATAATGATAAGGTGGGTTTGGGACGTTAAACTCTACATATCGATCTATCTATCGAATTCGGTGCATTACTTCGAGGAAATATGCCGGGCTGTCTCTATCAGTAAGCAATTGGCGTTTTGAATGACGAACTATGACAACAAATGATTGTGAGAATACATTTGGGTTAAGACGCTGTTTTTTTTTTCGCTGTTTGTTCAGGCGCTTACACGCACGCGCGCACACACACACGCAGGCGCACTTTCAGACTTTATGCATTCTAACTTCGTAATATAATTTCATCGAGTGCCAACTGACGAGACTTCAGGTAGTCGAAATTTTCGGAGCCCTCCACTACGGCGTCTCTCATAATCATATGGTGGTTTTGGGACGTTAAACCTCACATATCAATCAATCAATCAACTGACGAGACTTGGCAGTTGGCCATCTATGCTTGTAATTACACGTGCATCTGTTGTCATCTTTGCGATGAACAAATTAGCACGAAACTATACACTAGTCAACACGAACGCTTACGTCACTGCGGCTGAACTTACATTAGGGCTTGAAGTCTTTAGATTTTCAGAACACTAACACAGGATGCTTCCAGGACACAAAAGCGTATCGACAGTGCGATAATACTTGCAGTTGCAGCATCTCCTTGAACGTTTCTCGAAAAAAAAAAAAATCGGCAGATCCCACGTATATCTTGGGAATCGACGTTATGCGAAACATGCGGAGGGAAAGTGACCATGTTGTGATATCTTTTATTGTAACTCTATATTTTAATTTTTTTAAATTGCAGCGCGTACTTGAACCTTTCTCGAAACACACACACACGCACACACACACACACACAGACGGAGCGCAGCACTGCTGAACCACACGCACCTTTCACATACGGTCAGACACTCTACAAAAATCGGATCTGAGCTGTGATGCTCCAACAAAGGACAGACTTTTCGTTAAAACATACTCTGCCGCTTTGTCGTAATGCTGACTCCAGCGATGCCTTTTGTTAGGCCACTGCCATTAATATAACATAATGGGAGGTAAACCATGAAACTTTCTATTGTATATATCATCTGTCGAAACCGCCTATCGTGTTGTCGCAGCTTATCGCGCGACAAAGACGAAGCGAGCGGTTACTTCGTAAAGATAATGGCTGTCTATGAAATTAAACTCTGATCGTCTGTCCGTGCTCTAGTTCAGGTTTAGGCTGAGTGATGGTGAGTCTCATTGTTTTTTTTTTCATATAAAGGGAGATGATTTGATTGGTCAATTGACTTTGATAATAGGAGTTGGGATTTTACGTTTTAAAACCACGATATGATTATGGGAGACGCCGTAGTGGAGGGCTACAGAAATTTCGACCGTCTGGTATTCCTTGACGCGCACTGACGTCATTCAGTACTCGGGCCACGAGCGTTACGACTCCATCGTTAGTCGACTTTCCTATACCATCTATGGAGAATAACATTCAAATAGATTTTTAAGAATCTAAATGGCTCGCCTCAAGTTCGACTGTTCTTAGGTCTGTATTCACAAAGCATCCTCAACCTTACATAGTGTATTTATTGATCCAGTCTTCAATCGCTAGAAATTGTGCTGCAGTGTAATATCAATCCATTCGTTGTTCATTATGCCTACCTAGAATATCAGTTTTCTTTTTAAATTTCAATATTCACACGGTTCGGATCCCGGCTGCGGCGGCTGCATTCCCGATGGAGGCGGAAATGTTGTAGGCCCGTGTGCTCAGATTTGGGCGCACGTTAAAGAACCCCAGGTGGTCGAAATTTCCGGAGCCCTCAACTACGGCGTCTCTTATAATCATAGGTGGTTTTGGGATGTTAATCCCTACATATCAATCAAATAAATCAGTATTCACGCTATTTTTCAGCTGACCTCAAGCTTGACGGTTTTGCCTAAATGCACCCCAAGACCCAGATCAGATTTTTACTATAGTGGCCTGGCCAGAAGTGACTGCCTTTTCCTTATATTTTTGTGTCCTAATGAACAAGTCAGCTCTGCGGTCGAGCCTCTCCGGTCGAGCCAGGCTCCGGTCGAACCTGCGACTGTTCGTGAGGATCCTGTAATCACAAAATGTTAGTGCGGACGTTTCCTTCTTCGTCGCAGATAAGCGTATCAGGTGTAAAGCTAGGGTCTTTAGAATTTTAGCAGTCCCACTGAGCCTCGCTAGGAATCAAGTTTCGTGAATTTGCTACTGGGTGGAGCAGCTGCTGTGGCCACCAAGTGTTGAACCGTAACTGTGGAGCGAAAATGTGGCGTCGAGATTTTAGGGAGCTTTCGCACACCTCTCGCGGGTTCCCATAGAGTGATTAACGCTAACTCTACGTCCGCTAACTTAGCGTACGCTATTCGAAACCTCCCTATTAAGCCATTCAATAGATCCACACCATTATGTTTTTCAAAACCCTGACGCGGAATTCTCTTCATAAATGACTCATGTATGAAATGTGGTAGATGTCTTCTTTTGAAATGGCGACGTTAGCTGACATTTGGTTCAGGCTCCAGCCGCTAGTTCCAACGTTCTTCGCTTAACAGGCTCTTGTGGGAAAAATTTTTGTCACCGTGTCCCAATAGCTGATGTGAGTTTGGCACCGCTGGCCTACATTTTCGTACATATTCGAGATAGAGTATTATTCGTGTTCCACTTCCCAGTACCGGTTCGCACGTGTAAGGGGGGTGTACTTAATGGAGTATATAAATGTACCTCATGCCGATCATTCATCCTTCGCTTCGTCTCTCTGGCAATTTATTTTTCATGCACAAATACCTCACAGGCTCCACGTACGAGTATTGTGTGAAGCGTAGTAGACAATACTTTTTAGCAAGAATACAAAAAGCAAATAAAAGAAACGGGAAAAGAAACAGGTATATTACTAAGGCAAAATGTGACAGATATGTAACACGGGTTGTAATATTGTAAAAATAAAATACTTATGTTTTAGCACGTATGTGTAATACATATTTTAGTGGTGATAAATAATAATAATAATAATAATAATAATAATAATAATAATAATAATAATAATAATAATAATAATAATAATAATAATAATAATAATAATAATAATAATAATAATAATACCATCTGGTGTTTTACGTTCAAGAAACATGATATGATTATGAGAAACGTCGTAGTGAAGGGCTCCGGAAATTTCGACCATCTGGTATTCTTTAACGTGCGCTGACTCGCACAGTTCACCGGCTTTCATCATTTTCCCTCCATCGAAATGCGACCACCATGGCCGAGATTTAACCCAAAACCCGTGGGTCGTATTTTAGTGGCGCTACATGATATCACAATATAACGTATAAAAAAACTGTACTAACCATCTATTGCTGTTTTTTCGCGAAACATATGGTCACTTGAAGTCTTGTCTATGCAGTATATTATACAACGTTGAAGTTGCTGCCGCGGAGAAGGCATCAACGCTTGTCTATAAACGCTGGCTGCAATGAGACACCGTGTTTCAGGGTTTTTCGTCGCTTCAAGAGTTCATTTTCCCCCGAACTTCTACATTGTACAACGATCACGTAGCACTGTTCCACTCCGTAACGCTCGAAGAGACAAAGAAAAAACAAGGCTCCTACCTAAGCGAAGTACAGTCGCTCTCTTCTTCGAGAATCACAGAGCTTGTCTCCGGTTGTTGCACCGCCAGTGGCATCCATTCACATCACCGTAGACGATTCGGAGTCGCGCAACATTCCCTTCGTGTCGTGTTATTCCATGTCCACAAATTGGCGCTCATTTAGCCTTTCGGTTTCGGAGGTGAACGCCCCATCGCGCACCGTGCGTTTCCTTAACGGCATGCGCGCGGAGTCGGGCGGGAGCGAGACGGCGAGCTCGGAAAATGCGCGCGCGCGACACGGGCTTCCGCTCCGGCGTTCCACCCGGGGCCGACTGTTCTCCGAGACCGCGGCTGCGGAGCCGGGCTACGATGGAGAGGAGAGAGGAAAGGAGTTTCCCTCCTCTCTCGTATGAGTCTGGCTCGCCCCTTGGTGTAGAAAGGGAGGGCAAGAAAGAGGAGAAAAGAAAGGGAAGAATGTAGGGAGAAAAACGTCGGAGGAAAAGGGCGCGGCGCGCTGGAGGCGCGCGTGTGTCCAAAAAGACTTTCGGTTGTTCTGTTGCTTGGGAGGCCCGCCGGCGGCGAGTATTCATTCGGGTCGTGTGTGTCGTTTCACCGGACGTGAGCGATGAAGGCCCGAAAAGAGAGAGAGAGAGAGAGAGAGAGAGAGAGAGAGAGAGAGAGAGAGAGAGAGAGAGAGAGAGAGAGAGAAAAGAAGACTTCGCGCGCTGGATCTGTGAACGCGGCTGCTGAGAACGGAGGTCGAGAGTTCGAGTCACGTAATCCCTCGGTGGTGCAGCGATAATGGTGCTCGACGGCTGACCCGATGGTCGGGGATTCGATCCCGGTCGCGGCCGTGACATTTGAATGAAGGCGAAGTGCTAGAGGTCTGCGTGCACTGCGCCATGCCAGCGCGCGTTACAGAACACCACACGATCGGAATTTCCGGAGGCCTCCAATGCCGCGTGCGTCACAATCATATCGGGGTGCTTGGACGTAAAACTTGGAGTTTCTTCTTCTTCTTCTTCTTCTTCTTCTTCTTCTTCTTCTTCTTCTTCTTCTTCTTCTTCTTCTTCTTCTTCTTCTTCTTCTTCTTCTTCTTCTTCTTCTTCTTCTTCTTCTTCTTCTTCTTCTTCTTCTTCTTCTTCTTCTTTTTCTTTTTCTTTTTCTTCTTTTCCTTTTTCTTTTTCTTCTTCTTTTTCTTCTTTTTCTTTTTCTTCTTCTTCTTTTCTTCTTCTTCTTTTTCTTCTTTCTTCTTCTTCTTCTTCTTCCTTTTCTTTTTCTTCTTCTTCTTTTTCTTCTTTTTCTTCTTCTTTTTCTTCTTTTTCTTCTTCTTTTTCTTCTTCTTCTTCTTCTTCTTCTTTCTTCTTCTTCTTCTTCTTTCTTTTCTTTTTTCTTTTTCTTCTTTCTTTTCTTCTTTCTTCTTTTTCTTCTTCTTCTTTTTCTTCTTTTTTCTTTTTCTTTTTCTTTCTTTTTCTTCTTCTTCTTTTTCTTCTTTCTTCTTCTTCTTCTTCTTCCCTTTCTTTTTCTTCTTCTTCTTTTTCTTCTTTTCCTTCTTCTTTTTCTTCTTTTTCTTCTTCTTTTTCTTCTTCTTCTTTTTCTTTTTCTTCTTCTTTTTCTTTTTCTTTTTCTTCTTCTTCTTCTTTTTCTTCTTCTTCTTCTTCTTTTTTTCTTTTCCTTTTTCTTTTTGTTCTTCAATTTGAATCTCCTCCCTAGCTAGCTTCTTGATAGATCATGTGTTATGTTGCCGTTAATGGCTAAACGTCCTCTTCGTATAAAGCCACTAGTGGGGTTCCTTGAGGATCGGTACTGGGCCCACTCCTCTTTTTAATTTAAGTTAATGATGTTGTTTTTCTGTCATTCGAAATTCTTTTCTTTTGTATGCTGATAACAAAGATATTTAAGGAATTTCTTTCACCTATCGATTGTCGCTTGCTGCAATCTCATTTGTGTTCTTTTTTTTTTGTCTGGTGCAGGAGCAGTAATATCTACCTAAATATTTCAAAAGCTAAGGTAATGAGTTTCACTCAAAAAACATTTAGTTAACTATTTTTGTGTTCTGTCGATTCTGTGTCGTTGTGCAAGGTATGTAAGATCAATGATATAGGTTTATTTTTGATAGCCCCTTACACATTTCTGCTCACGATAAGCGTGTTGCATTGCGGGGCCTTCACACCCTATAGGCCGTGTTTGCAGAATTTCTGGAGAATTCCGTTCTCCTGTGCCCTTACATGTACATCGCGCTATGCCTTCCTGAACTTAAGAATGCATCTGCGATCTGGAATGGCATTCCTAATTCCAACAGCAACGCCGTTGAGCGAGTCCAGAAAATGTTCCTAAGCATTTACAACCATCGTTTTGTTAGAAATGACTCTGGATCTCGTTCTAATGCTGCTGGATTATAATCATTGCCATCACTTTGCTGCCGGCGAAATCAAACTTGTCTGTTATTTCTTTACAAGCTTGTGCATAGGATCATATTCTGCCCTGTACCGCTGTACTGACTTAATATTCAAATTCCCCGTTAGCTCACCATGAGAGAATATACCTTTTCATGTAAACGTCTGCCTCTGGGAACATTCGACTATTGGCAGGATCGTCTTTACAATGTTTACTTTTTGGAGATCGATGTCTTTCACAGCTTCCAGTCGTTGTTCTGCCCCAAGCTTTGCACTGTACTTACTTAGTCTCGTACACTGTTGACATTTTTTATTGCCTGCACATAGTGGTATGTGTGTCATTTTATAACGTTTTTTTTTATTCCTGATATTTTAATATGAATGTTTACCTTTGTTTGTTTTTTTCGTGCTTCACTTTCAAAGTAGACCATGCTACAAGGACAATGATTTTTGACGTGATAACCATGAGCGCCTGTCTCGCAGATAGTCTTGTGTCGGTGTCATTGGCTGTGAGCGCAAAATCTGAGTTATGTGGTGGCGAAAATCCGATATATACGCAAATAGTGAAAATGTTTGGTCCGGGTGAGATTCGAATGCAAGCCTTCTGCGCGGCAAGCATGTGTCTTATTACAGATCCACACCATTATGCGAAACTTTTTCCAAAAAAGAAAAAAAAACACGTAATATTCGGGATAGTATCAGTGTGTCGCAACAGGTTTTAAAAGGTATATTCATGTGATGCAGGGTTCTTGTTGCTGATTTGTTTTTCTCCCGGGCTGAGCCTCAGAGAGTTTTGTTAATAAGGACAAAGCCGTTCGGTTTCCATGAAACACACAAAAAGTTTAATTGAAAAGAAAAAAAGGCAAAGATTCCTCACAAAACAAAACACTTAATAAACAGTTGACTGGACATGACGAAACACATCTGTAAACACCCAACAAAAACGTTCAAAGTCAGTAACTAAACCTAACGTTCGAAAGGGGCTGAGTGATGGGAGTAGCGCAAGAGTATCGGTGCAGTCTCACCCACAAGTTGGTTTTCGGCGGTGATGAGAAACCGGAACGCCGTGACTCCTGCGTCAGTGCGTGGGCTGGACGAGGACGAGGGAACGCTGGCTGCTGGCGACACGTCGAAAAGCCCTACCAATCGTGATGGTTTCGGCTTGAGGAGCGTGGACACGTCGGAGACGGGAGAACGCAGGCTGGTGGCGACGCGTCCGGGAACTAGGGTCGACCTAGTCAAGCAGCTGGGCGCACAGCTCGGGCCCGGAGCCCGACGGCTGTAGCTCGCCTGCCGGAACCAAAGTCCGCAGGCCCTGGAAAGGAGTTCAGGACCGGATGGCCACGGTCCTTTGGAGCGGGAACCCGACAGCAGGAGGCCCCGGCCGGTGGAAGTCCTGTAGGCTCGGGTCCGGAACCCAACGGCCCATCTTCAGCGCCCGGTCCGGTGACGACCTTCCGCTTGCACTGCCTGCCTCGAATTCCCCTTGCTCTGGTCTCCCCAGGCTCCTGCTTCAGCTCTGGCCCACTTGTCTCGTTCTCATTGGAGATACTACTGTTTCGTGGTGTCAAGCCATTGGGCCTTGAAATCTCCGTGTTCGCTGCCCATTGGATGTTTTACCTTTTGTTTACTTCACGTCCTGCCACGCATCCTCGTGCTTGACGCTCTTTAACGTCGTCATTCTTGTTTAAGCAGCACCGCACGTGCACTCTGGTATTTCTCCTTTTGTTTTTTTTTTTTCCGTGACGCGCACTTTTCGAAGGCGCGCACTTTGAACGCGCACCACACATCACATACGCCCCCCTTTTATTCAAGTTTTTTTTTTTTTTTAGAAAAAAAAACTGCCGATGAGTGCGCGTTCTGCACTACGTCACAATTAAACCACATATTTGCACCACGCAGTTCAACACATCACCGGGCTACAGTTCGCTACATCGTCCAAATGTCCACACTTAAACTTTAGATTCACCCAATTGCATTTAAAAGTTCTGAAACCCGGAATAAACCTTTTTACTACAAAATCGACTATGGACAAAGCTACTTGTGTCCGCATCTAAAAGTCGAAGTCCAGAAAGAGCTACCGGTTTTCTAACCCTACACTCAGGTTATCGCGTCCCAAACCAGACGCACTGCCCTTCTCGCGCGTTTCGAAAGTAACTGTGGCAAACATGCTTTTATGCACTTTCGCTGAAACGCGTGTCTGCGCCCCCGCCGGCCACATGAACGCTTACCGGTCACAGAGGAACAGGGCGCGGTCTCGAGCCGTCGGCGTCGACACGAAACGCACTGAGACACGAATGTCCAAATGCCACAATCTCTCACACAAATGCTTTCTTTTAATTCACCATCTAATGAACACAAGCTCGGGGTGCCCTCAGCAAGCCCAAACGCTCCGACAAGCGTGTGAGGTTCCTGGATTCTTGAGAAGGGATGCCGTTGTGCTCGGTCATTATACCGCTCATCTTGAGTGGACTTAATTATAGGTTCAAAACCAATCACGTTCTCAGGTTCAAGACCCTGTCTGGCATTCTCCATACCTACTATCGAGCCCACCTCCGATTCGATACTGTTTATTTTGAAGAGTGCTTCAGCACTCCCATCGTGTTTTCTCGGACAAATAGCAGTTACGCTATCCTGTGAACTAGAATCCCCTCTCTCTCTGAGTGAGATATACGTATGGTCTAGGACCATTGACGTGGTGCCTGCTGCTACCTCTGTCGGTACAAAACAATCAGTGGCCACTATATCAGAGCCTTCATGGCATTCGCTGCCATCTTCCCAATGACGTTCTAGCGCTCCTTCCATGGAGCTATTGAGAGGTAGCCCTACCCCTTCCCGAAATGTGCTCGGCCTCTGAGACGTTCTGATACACACCTCATTCTGAATGGAGCTTCTTCGTTCCCTGCTATCGAAGCTTTGCTCCACAACAT